TGAATTATGTTTATTGATTTTCAAGTGTTGAATCAGCATTACATCACTAGGATGAACCCCACTTGATCATGATGCACTATCTTTTTCATATGTTTTTATAAGTGATTGCCAATATTTTATTGAGGATTTTTGCATTTGTGTTCATCAAGGATATTGGTCTGAAGTTTTCTTTCCTTTTTGTGTCTTTGTATGGTTGTGGTATGAGGGTGAATATTAGCTCCATAGAATGAGTGTGAAAGGGTTTCCTCCTTTTCTGTTTCATGGAATAATTTGAGGAGTATTAATTCTCTAAAGGTCTTGTGGAATTCAGCTTAGAATCCATCTGGTCCTGGGCTTTTCTTAGTTGGTAGGCTTTTCATGGCATCTTCAGTTTCATTGCTTGAAATTGATCTGTTTAAATTTTCTGTGTCCTGATTCAATTTGGGTAGGCTGTATGTCTCTAGAAATTTGTCCATGTCTTCAAGATTTTTTACTGTGTTAGAATATAAATTTTTTAAATAGTTTCTGTTTATGGTCTGTATTTCAGTAGTATCTGTTGTGATATTTTTTTTCATCATGAATTTTAGTAATTTGTGTTTTCTCTCTTTTTGTTAATGTGGCTAAGGCTTTATCATTTTATTTATTTATTTTTTCAGAAAACAACTTTTCTTTCATCTTGTTTTGAATTTTTTTGTTGTTGTTTCAATTTCATCTCTGATTTTAATTATTTTCTGTCTGTACTGCTTTTGGTACAGACGAAAATAACTTGTTCTTCTTTTTCTCAGGCTTTGAGATGTAAACTTAGGATATTTATTTGTTGACTTTCTGTTCTTTTAGTGAATGAACTCAGTGGAGTGAACTTTCTTCTTAGAACTGCCTTTATAGTGTCTCAGTGGTTTTGATATGCTGTATCACTATTCTCATTTACCTCTAAGTATTTTTTTTGTTTCATTCCTGATTTCTTCTGCTATTCATTAGTCATTCAATAGCATATTATTTAGTAGCTTCTATTTTTAATTTTCTCATTGATTTTAGATTTCATTACATTATGATTTGATTGAATGCAAGGTATTATAGCTATTTTTTCTTTTGTATTTGCTAGGAGTTGCTTTGTGGTCTAAGGTACGGTTTATTTTAGAGAAGAATCCGTGTGCTGCTGAGAAGAAAGCATATTCAGTTATTGATTGATGAAATATTCTATATGTGTCTTTAAAATCTAAAGTCTAAAAGTAATTGTATTTTTTATTTCTATAGCTTCTTTATTTAGTCTTTGTTTGGAGCATCTATCCAGTGGTGAGAGAGAGAGATGTTAAAATCATCCAGTATTATTATTATTGTTGTAGTTTGTTTGACTCTTGAAATTGAGAAGGGTTTGTTTGATGTATGTAAATGCTCCATTGTTAGGGGCACAAATATTTATGATTGTTATGTCTTGTTGATGTACAGTTACCTTAAGCAGTATGAAATGTCCTTCTTTATCCCTTTTGATTAATTTTGGCTTGAAGTCCACTTTATCTGATATGAGGCTAGAAACCCCTGCTCTTTTACAGAATCTGTATGAATGATAAGTTTTTTTTTCCCCCAGTCTGTGGATTTCTTTGCCTATGAGTCAAGTCTCTTGGAGATAACACATTATTGGCTCTTGTTTTTTAATCCAATCTGGCAGTCTGTGTTTTGATTGATGAGTTCAGGCCATTTACATTCAGTGTTGTTACTGAGAAATGATTTTTATTCCCCGAAATTTTGATTTATTTCTGGTTTTTATTTGAATTAATTTCTCCTTTCATTGACTATTCTTGCAATGTAGTTCCTCCCTTTGCTGATTTTCACTTTTATTTTTCATTACTTCTTCATGAAACATTTTATTGAGTATTTTTTGCAGTGCAGGCTTTCTAGTTATGAATTCCTTTTTTTAAATGTTTTTATTTAGTTGTAGATGGACACAATGCTTTTATTTTTATGTGGTACTAAGGATTGAACCCAGTGCCTCACATGTGCTAAGCAAGCACTCTACCACTGTGCCACAGCCCCAGTCTAGTTGTGAATTCCTTTTTTAAAAATTTGTTTTAATTAGTTACACGTGTCAGTACAATGATCTTGACATATCATACATTTGAATCAGATGGGATATAATTTTTTCACTTTTCTGAGTGTACAGGTTGCAGAATTACATTGGTCATGCAGTCACATATAGACCCACAGCACCTTTTTTTAAAATTTATTTTTTACTTGCAGATGGACACAATATCTTTATTTAATTATTTTTATGTGGTTTTGAGGATTGAACCCAGTGTCTCATGCTTGTGAGGCAAGCGCTCTACCACTGAGCTAAAATCACAGCCCAAGTTGTGAATTCTTTTAACTTTTGTTCATCAGGGAAACTTTTCATTTCATTATCAGTTCTGAAGCTTAATTTTGCTGGGTGTATTATTCTTGGCTGACATCCATTGACTTTCAAAGCTTGGTATATAATATTCTAAGACTTAGCTTTCAGGGTCTGACGTGAGAAATCAGCTGAGATCCAGATGGGTTCCCTCTATATGTGACCTAATGTTTTGCCTGGCAGCCTTTTTCTGTATGTTAGTCATTTTCATAATAATGTGCCTCATCTATGTCTTTTGTAATAATTTTGTATATTTGGGGTCCTGTAAGCTTCCTGTATCTGACTTTTTGTCTCATTCTTTATTTTTGGGAATTTTCTGATATGATTTCATTGAAAAGATTGTGCATTCCTTTGGTTTGTTTCTTGATCCTTTGTCTATCTTGATAAATCTAATATTTGGTCTTTTCACGTTATCCCATATTTCTTCAAGTTCTGTTCATGGTCTCTTAACATCCTTTATGTATGGTCAACTTTATTTAAAAATTATATTCTTTGTCTTTGAGGACTGAAAATCATCTTCAGAGTGGTCTAATCTATTAATAATGCTTGCCACTGAATTTTTCATTTGGTTTATTGATTCTTTCATTTCAAGGATTTCTGTTTGTTTCTTTTTCAGATTTATATCTCTTTATTGAAATAATCTTTCACTTTCTGTATTTGCTCTCTGATTTTACTCTTTACATCTTCTGTAGTTTTCACCACTGTAGTTTCAATTAAGTCTGTTGTTGTAGCATGATGTCCTGTTTAGGATAGTTTGTTTTCTTGCCTTTTCACATTGTCTGTATGTCTACCCATGTATAGGTATAGCCTGTCTTCTTATTTTAAGCAAAGGACTATTTTGTGAGCTTCTTTCTCTTAAGACCCCTGGGTTGGGTGAATCTCCAGATAATAATATTTTAAGTCAGTGTGTGACCTCTGCATCAGCACTACTTGAAGAGAGATGCCGCTGAACCCTATTTACTATAATCATTTTACAACCAAGCCTTGTTCTTCATCATCATAAAAAATAAAAACGTGGGCTGGGATTATAGCTCAGTGGAAGAGCACTTGCCTAGTACGTGACACATCTGGTTCGATGTTCAGCACTACATGTAAATAAATAAATAAAAAAATAAAGGTCCATAAACAACTAAAAAAATATTTTAAAAAATATTTGTATTTTCGTTGTAGTTGGACACAATACCTTTATTTTATTTATTTATTTTCTAGCCTAGGATTGAACCTAGGGCCTCAAACGTGAGGCAAGCAGTCTACCGCTGAGCCACAACTCCAACCCACTAAGAAGTATTTTAATAAAAGAAATAAAAATGTGTTAGTATTGTTCTTTATGGTTTCTCAAATCTAGTTATAAATATGTAATAAGGTTCTGAAATAGGTCAAAAGTTGGTTATTAAATTCAGTAATCTTACTATAAACTTATATGAGGGCTAAAAGTGGGGGCAGGAATAGAGATTGGGCAAAAAGGAGAGGGTAAAAGAGAGAGTCTGAAACAAAACTAAAAGAAAAGGAGTAAAAGACTAATTCATACCAAGGTAGAAAGGAGAAATAGATGAATGCATGGTATTTGAGGTAGTAGCTGATAATGGAAGAGGTTGAGTAGCAGACACGAGGAGCAAGTATTTCCTATCTCTATTTCCTAGAGATAGGAAAACAAAGGATTATTGATTCCAATTAGTGCTTTATATCATTACATGACATGATTCAAATCAGTGAAGGTACTGTGTTTGCTGTTGGGGTAACAATTATTATTCAAGTTAAAGAGTTATTGAAATGATCAAAGTTGATGTTAGAGTTTATAGTAAACCATGTCAAGGTGAAAATAATTCTGTTGAATCTTGGGTTTGGGTTTCATTGGGGGTTGGACATATAGCAGATATCCATTAGTCTTTGGCTTTGGATCTCCCCAGAGTTACAGGGATAAAGGAGCCAGTTCCTAATTACTATGAATTTCCTACCAGCTGCTTCTGGTTTGTCAGCTCAGGGGCCTGCAACTGATTGTTTGGAGGGTGCTGTGTTGTCACTTGGTTGTTTCTATTGTGTGCTGTAGTTCAGGATGCAGGCTCTGCATTGTCCCTGTGATTTCTGTGGGTCACCATATATATATGCTCCCCTCTATAAGATCCTTTTCATTGTGATGTAGATCCTGGTGGCTGTCTGTGAGCACAGGATCTCTGGTTGTGGATTTTCTGCAGGTGTTCTGTGATGCAGAAGTATTTCCCTGGCTGATGCCTCTCTCAGGAGTACTTATTGAAGGTGGTTCACCTAGACGGTAGTTTCTCCTACCTGAGGTTTTTAATGGCTGGCATTGATTCCATGTGTTTACTATGTCTGATGTAACATCTTGTCAATATCCAAACTGTTCTTTCTTTTTTTTTTTTTTTTTTTTTTTTTTTTTAAATATTTATTTATTTTTTTAGTTCTCGGTGGACACAACATCTTTGTTTGTATGTGGTGCTGAGGATCGAACCCGGGCCGCACGCATGACAGGCGAGCGCGCTACCTCTTGAGCCACATCCCCAGCCCACAAACTGTTCTTTCTTTACTTGCCAGTTGTGATTACAAGTCAGGCTGGGCTCAGTTAAGGCTGGGAGCAGCCACTTCCTATTATCTTTACTCTTGTAATTTTCTATCTTTGCAGCTGCCTTCAGCTTATGTTTCCTGGGGTATTCAAGGAACTTATTCTTGCAGCCCTCTGTGGGCAACTGCCATCATGCTGGACCTGGTACTCCATGTAAGTGGCTATTCAGGCAGCTTCCCTCTGGTATAGCCCTGTGATCCCTGGACTTTCCATGGTACCCCCTCCCCCTCTGTGTCAATGGACGGGGCCTGGTGAATCTACTTTCCTCTGTTAGGGGCCAAAGCTGCTCTCTTGCTAGCTCTGTCTGATCTAGCCAACGACCTGCATAGAGCTCTCCACCCTTATCCTAGTCACAGATTCTGGTTAGACACCATTCCCGGCACAGGTCCCTAGCACCCCAATCCCCTTGTTTGCACTGAGGGGAAGGGAGAAGGAGCTTCAGTGATTGTTGGCTAGTAGTGATCTTTCTAGAAGTTCTTTTTGACTGGATTCTTAAGAGGTCTTACAGAGGGGGACTTCCTTCTGTTTTAATTTCTAGCTGTCATGGAATCATGCTGGTGTTGATTTAAGGGGGTGACCGAGTGACTGAGGGCTCCACCAGATGGCTCATTCTTATTTTGATCAACTGTACTGTTGATGCTTTCTATTGCATTTTTAATATTGTTCTGTATTTTTTATCTCTAGAACTTCTGTTTAATCTTTAAAACTTATTCAACTTCTCTAATTTTTGAATTGTTTCTCTGTATTTTCTTGAAGTTCACTGAACTTTCTGAACACAGGTATTTTTAATTCCTTATCTGACAGATCAAGCAGCTCAATTTGTTTGGGGTCTATTACTGGCACCTTATTTTGTCAGTTTGGCAAGAACATGATTTCCTGATTGTTCTTGATGCTTGTAGACAAACTTTAGTGTCTGCATGTTGAAAAATTATATACTTATTCCAGTGTACCTTTTTATATTCTCCTTCTTCAATAAGCCTATCTAGAAATCTCAGCAGACTTTTGTTAGTACCCATGACTGCTGTAGCCATTTTAGTCCTGGAAGATTCCCTAAACCTAGGTTTGCCACAGGTCTCATGAGGGTGCCAAGGTTGGTGCAGAGTCTTGGCCTGGATGAACTTAGGGGAGATTCAAGAGGCTACCCAGGTTATAGGAAAATGTTGCCAGTCACCTGAGTCCAGAAGCCTGTCATGTGTACCCAAATGAGTATGTTCCCTAAAAGTACCCTGCATAGGTGCAGTAGTTCTCTAAATGCAGTTGGAGGTAAGACTGGGCACCCTCTGGCTGTGCTGTGGAATGGAGGCTGGCAAACCTGCCCTGTTGGCTCACGTATGTGCATATTTCACAGTTGTTTCCTGCACAGGCAAAATAGTACCCCTGGTACTGTGACAGGGCTAAAACAGAGAATAGGCTCCTCAGGATCTAGTGTGGAATATAGCAAGCCATTCATGGAAACTTGGATAAACAGGTAATCCCCAGCCTTCAAGATATGGATGGTTCTCCCGCTAGGTCCTTTTTTGTTGTTGTTGTTGGTGGTGGATAAGTAACTAGGTATTGAACTCACTGGTGCTTGGCCACTAAGCTACATCCCCAGCTGTATTTTGTCTTATTTAGAGACAGGGTCTCACTAAGTTGCCAAGCACCTAGCTTTTGCTGAGGCTGGCTTTGAACTCAAGATCCTCCTGCCTCAGCCTCCCGCTGGGATTACAGGCCTGAGCCACAGGCCCTTTAGGTCCTTTTGTGAACAGTCCTACATTGGGACCTCAGCTAAGGGGAGCAGAAGCTGAGTCACAGGGTAACCTTCAGATTCATTGTTGGGATCACTGTTGGTAGGCAGAGAGACCTTTCTGCCAAGAGACTGCCAAGAATCTGCATGATTCTTCCTGAACCCTTTGGCAGATAGCTTTGGTTCTGGCTCAGGGCCAAATAGGCTATAGCCAAGCTCTTTGGAGAAAAGAGTTATTTCTGTGGTTTTGTGGTTAGAATTCAGGAGCATAGTTGGCAGGTCTGCTACCTGGGTACTGGTCTGTACTCTCAAAATATTCTTCCATTGTTTTGGGCTCTTCTGTGATTTTACAGCCTCCTACCTGAATTCTAAGGCTCCTTCAGAGAGCCTTTTTTGTATGTGAACAGCACCAAATTCTTATTGTTTGGGGAAGATAAGAGTGGGGACTTCATATTCCTCTATCTTGCTGGCTAGAGAATTTGTACTTTTAAAAGTTAACTTGTTTCACTAAATAAATCGCTGATTGATGGAATTTAAAGTGTTTTGATAAAGTGAATAACTTTGGGCAGTGGGGGAGATTTTTGAGCATTAGTCATTAAAATTTAGCACATATGGTCTAATTAAATGCCAGAAGACATGCAAAATATGTGTTGTGAAAATTTAGGAGATAGATAAATTGTTTACAGTTTGGGAGATTAGAAAGAAAAAAAGAAAGGATGTTGTGTGTAGGTAGCACTTGAACTGAGTATTGAAAGATAAGGTTTTATTGGGATATTTGGAGCTTGAGAAGGTGCAAATGTTTGAAGAGGAGCAGTTTGTATTGTAGTTTGACCAAAATATAAGTTCTGGATTAATGTTCAAATATATTTGAATACATGAGCACCTTTATATCTACTTCCTCTTTAGAGTTTACTAAAATGACCAAAGAGGATTAAATATTATAATTCTACAAGGAGATAAAATGCATGAAGAGACCCAGCAGATGAGAGATAATTTATTAGAACAACTCATGGAACCCAGGAAAGTGTTTACCTTACTATTATTATAGTTTGATATATAGGATACTATAAGTGCATGGTGCACAAATGACAGAGGCAGGACACAGGAAGCAAACCTTGGATCAGCAAGGTTTCCTGTATTCTGCCGCAAAGTCAATTGATTAGGCATGGAGGGCTCATTTTCTTGGTATGGAGATGGGTCCCTGAGTTACAGAAGGAATCTGGGTTTTGTAGTTTACAATGAGGGTGAATTAATCATTGGAGATGGAGGATGTGCTGTTTGGACAGTCAGGGACCTAGCTGTGCAGGTTAACTCAGAAGGCAATTATAAAAGTTTGAAACTCATTATCACTAGGAAGAGCTTACAATTCGGTGTTCACTGCTTATCTTCTGTTTTTTCTGGAACCCGTTGTTACCTAGGGCTTCACATTTTGCATTTCTCCTTCCAAGACTCATCTGCAATGGGAAAGGGTAAAAGTACAGGGCTCAGCTTTTCAGTATTGCCTCCTCCTTTCAGGACCTATTGTGATGGGAAGGGGTAAATGCTTGTTTTTGGTGGAGAAGCTGGGGATGAACCCGGGCAGGGATGAAAGTTTGCTTTTTCTCTCGGGCCCATTATTACTGGGAAAGGATATACTGGGAGAGGTTTAATGTCTAGCTGATTTCCCCTCCCAAGTCACATGTCTCTCAGTTTTTCTGGGGGAACTATCTTGTAGGAATATTATTTTCCATAACCCTTCAGATACAACTTGGGAATGGTGAAAGAGAAGAGATGTAAGGGTTACATTTGGGGGAAGAATCAAATGTAACTGCCTTCTTTGATGAGTCATTGTCTAAACACTTTGATATAGTCATCAACTCAGATGCTTTTTGAACCCTGTTAGGGGTTTTTATGGGAATTCCATTACATAGGCAGTCGATTAAATCATAACCATTGGTAATTAATTTCATCTCCAGTCTCTCTCCACTCACCTGAAAGGGATGAGGTTCAAAGTTCCAATTTTCCAGTCTTTTTGGTGATCAGCACCTGAAGCTTCTGGTGGTTTCAGCCACTGGTTATTTCATTGGCATACAAAAGATTCTTGTTTTTCTTCTGTTTATTTTTTTGGGGTGCTGACAATTGAACCCGGGACCTTATACATGCTAAGATCCATGTGTACACACATACATATATGTTACCCATAAGCCATATATTTTTTATAATTCTGTAGATTCTAAAAGTTTGAGGAGCAGTTATTGCCAGAGGCATAGGACAGTACCTAGGATGCTTGGTTGGTTTGTTTGTTTGTTTTTGGTAACTACTACACTCCTTTCAACTTCTTTTACCAGGAGGGAAAACCAAAAGTAGGCTATTTTATAGCTGCTGGAAGTTCTTTTTTTTTTAATATTTATTTTTTAGTTGTAGTTGTTGGAAACAATACCTTTATTTTATTTATTTTTATGTGGTGCTGAGGATCAAACCCAGGGCCTCGCATGTGATAGGTGAGCTCTCTACCTGTAAGCCACAACCCCAGCCCCTGGAAGTTCTTATTCTTTTACTGATTCTGTTGTAGTGTTCAGAATTAAGACTACTAGAATTAGTCTTCTGATAATTCATCCAGATAAGTATTTATTTAAGTGCTCCTATGTCCTAGACATTGCTCTAAGCACTAGAGATATAATAGCCAAATTTCTGCTTTCAGGAAGATTATGGAGAATATTTTATGGGAATGTTAGACAATTCATTTGTGATATCATTTACTGATATCATTTACTAAGTGAAGAGCAGTTTTATGGGGGAAATAATGATTCATTTTGAAAATATTGATGCTAAGATGCTTTTTAGGTAACCCAGAGATGACATATGAATTAGAAATTCATGGAGGAAATAGGACATTAGGTTATAAATTCAGATTCTATAATGTGTAAATGATAATTATCTTAGAAGCTAAGGTCCTTGTTACCAAAAACATAGGCCTGCCTCCTGGTCCCCTCATCCATAGCCTTTTCCCTTTACAGTTCACATTCCCCAAACTAGATACTTGCTCCACCATCCAGTTTGTTCCATTATTGAAATATCATTTTGGCATAGAAATTCTCTTTCTTTTGCGTAGGCTTTCTGTTCCTGGTAAAGTATAATCCATTCTCAGTATCAAGGAGAATTTCTCAGAAGTTTCAATTTGTTATCACCATGGTGATTTTTAACAATTTGTAATTGTTCAGAATAGTATTTTCTCTCTTTTTTTAAAAATAGAATTTTATTTTTATTTTATTTATTTTTTAGGTGTAGGTGGACACAACACAATGCCTTTATTTTTATGTGGTGCTGAGGATCGAACCTGGGTCCTGCCCGTGCTAGGCGAGTGCTCTACCACTGAGCCACAATCCCAGCTAATATTTTCTCTTGACCTACCTTCTACTCTCTGAAAACTGAATAAATGAAGGAACAA